CGCGCGCTTCAACTTCCTCGTCAGGTCCGCCAGGTATCTTTCCGTGATGACTGGAGGCACCGTCGCCGTGCCCATGCGTCCGACGACACCCGCTCTGTTCTCTGGAAGATTGCCCTTCTCCGCCAACTCATCAATCCACTCTTGAAACTCCCGCGCCGTGCCGTTCTTCCTCTGCTTAAGCTGCACGACCTGGTATTCGTACTGATCCAGCTTCTCCAGCGCTTCGGTCAGCCTCTCGTGGACCTTTGGCGCCGAACTCTGTATCCTCTTCAACCTCTCACTAACACTCGCGTACCGAAACAGGCTCCTGGGGAATGCGACGAGTCCATGACCCATGAGGTAGATACCCAGTATAAGACCCCACGTGTACGCCAGCGCCATGACCAGACTCTTAAAGGTATCCGCTTCGAATCCATTCCAGATGATCAAATAGATCGAGCCAACGATACTGCACCCGGCGACAATGAGCCAGTACCGTCCATTACTCCTCAGCGCATACTGCAACCTCGCCTTGGGCTCTCTGTAGCCACTATCGCAGTACTCGCCCAGCATAGGCAGAATCGCCCACGTGAGCGCGAACGTGAGCCAGTAGATGATGCGCCATGCCTTGTAGACAACCGTGTCATTCAACCAGATGCCCCTCGCGCCATCCGTTGTATCCAAGCCAGCACTGCTCGCGAGATCGATCGGCAGGAGCACGACAATGCTGGCCGGCAGCGCTATTGCCAAGAAGACGGGTACGACGACGTATGCGGGTGTGGTGCGGAGCGGGAGGTAGTAGCGGAGGAGCAGCAGGACGGCGCCGCATATGGAGAGGAGGGAGAGGACGAAGAAGGCGGTTGAGCCGGCCGCTGAGGACGTCATCGTAGTGTGTGGTACGGGGTGCGCATAGGAAAGGCCGAGGTTGTGGCGGTGATGGCGCAGATTATGGCTATGTGTGATGACAGTGAAAGGAAGCCTGGGTGTGGCTGGCCCAAAGATAGTTTGTCAGTTGTCGCGACGGACGGCGTGGAAGCGTCGGAACGCTGCTTAATCTCGGAATGCGGAAGGTGCGCGACCCGGTCGGACTACTACTACGTTCTATTATTCAATCTTTTCATCTAGAACTTCATGATTATGTTCACCGCGATTCTCATAGCTATGCACTTGGCACTATGATCTAAACATGCGTACAAGCTAGGTCCCTACTTTCATCCGCGTCGCAATCAGCCGCACGCGTCATGACGAGTCCGCGTCCTTACCCCTGTCCGTCTTTTAGTCTTTGTAAGCACATCACGTCGCATCGCCGATCCATCTCCGACGGCAGTTAGCGCAGTACTTCACGAGTGATTGCATCATTTGCCATCGAGAACGTTTGCTACTGCGGGGGGCAGCTGCACACTAATCCACTACTTGTATACAGTACATCTAGAACCAAGCTCATAAAGCTACTACCATCATCTGACAAACCTCGACTTCACGCATAAGTACGTCACCCCGCCCACCCTTCCAGCATCACAACACAGTACTCACAAATCTCCAGATATCTACAACAACCGCCAAAATTTCCTTCCTGCGTCACTTCTTCACGCGCGCCCCCTCGCCCGCCACAATGTCCGCCACAAAGACCAAGGTCCAGTCCATCATCGACGAGAACCCCGTCGCCGTCTTCTCCAAGTCGTACTGCCCATACTGCCGCCAGGCCAAGCAGCTGCTGAGCGACAGCGGCGCAAAGTTCTACGCCATTGAGTTGGACCAAGTCGGTACGTGATAGCTGCGAAACGGTGTATCGAAGAACAACAGCTAACAGGCGCATAGACGATGGCTCAGCCATTCAGTCCACCCTTGGCGAAATGACCGGCCAGACCACCGTCCCCAACATCTTCATCGCCCAGAAGCACATTGGTGGAAACAGCGATTTGCAGGCCAAGAAGGGTCAGCTCAACAACCTGCTCAAGGATGCTGGTGCCGTCTGAATGCCTACCATAAGAGAGAAGCTGTAGCTACTCCTCGATAGCTGGTCACATAACAAAATGAATGATCTACATCACACACCGTGCACCTCATAATAACGCCAAAGTATGCATTGAAAATCTGCCAGGAATGATTCTAACTGGGTAATCTTTGTGGTTTATTGCTAGTGAGCCCAACTACTAGCCTCACTCAAGTCTCGTAAAACAAAGCTCGAAGCTACACCTACAGGGCTTGCGGCTTGGGTTCTTCCTTCATCCCCAGACTGTTGTCCTGCAGTCTTTCCAGATCATTAACCATCGTTGATGCTATTCATGATGTCATTCTCCACATTCAAGAACACGGGCGAAGCTGGATCTTCTAAGTCTGCATCGCGTCCGTGAAACCTTGTGCGGCCGTCGTCGCAAAGTATCGTACATCCACATCGTCATCTTGCTGGAGCTTTTCGAGGTTCGGCAGAATGCTCTTTGTAATGACATCTGTAGCCTTCTGGCAGCCCTGGCCAGGTGTGCCAGCCTTCTCCAGAGCGATGACGGTACCCTGCTCAGGCAGCTGCTTGAGTGTGTTGATGAGCTGGCCATATGACTTTGCGACGTTGAAGCGAATGTTGGGGATGTCGTCGTTGACCAGCTTGTCCATCATGGGAATGATGGATTGTTCGATAACATCCAGACTGAGAGCGGGTGCGAGTGTTGACACGGCAAAGCAAGTCGTCATTCGGTAGAGGTAGTTGGGGTGCTGGCCCATAGCCATGACCTTGGGAACAATAGCGTCGTTGGCCCACTCTACACCGAAGACCTCCGTAAGCTTCTTCAAGTTCTGAGTGGATGCCTCACGGATCGAGAAAACTGTGTCGCCCAACCAGCTCATGCACAGGCTGCTGAGCTTCTCATCGAAGAATTGTACACCGAGTTGTGAGGCGAGGAGGGGAACGTATTCGATGATGGCAAGACGTACGCGCCATTGCTTGTCCTCGGCGAGTTGGACGATCGCGGGGAGGAGAGACTGCGAGAGGAGCTCGATGCCGATGACGTTGTTGACAGACTCGAGCTTGGAGATGATGTTTAGGCGGACGTCGGGGAACTCATCCTTGAGCATCTGGAGGAACATGGGAAGGAGATGCGAGATGGTCCTGACTCGTGTTAGCAGGTAAGCACGTGGTCACGCGCAGTCGCAACTTACTCTTCCTTTCCAAGAATGGGAGCGAGCCCACTGATCTGGGTGCCAAGTGCGGCGCGCACATGCTGTGATTGATCGGAGACCAGCTCCTCTATGCTGGGCATGACCTCGTGCAGGAGGGTCTCACGCTCCAAAAGCGCACAGAAGCCTGGTAATGGTCAGCCTGTGTGTCGCGCTTTTGCTGCATGTAACGTACCTGGAATTTGTCCTGCGATGGCGCTGCGGACCTCAGCCTCGGTATCCTTGAGGAGCTTGACAAATGCGGGTACAAGGTCTCGGTTGACAACCTCGTCGTCGACGGCTTTTGCAATCTGTACCCGTTAGCGCATGCCCTCTCTCGCTACAAGCCAAACGCACCTTCTCAAATCGGTCCGCCACCATGTATCGCACCCTCCAGCTCTTGTCCTCGAATAGGCTCCGTAGCGCAGTCAGCAGGACACCGTGGCTCGACTGCTGCTCCTTGGGTACTGCTTCGGCGATGGCAATGAGGATGTCGACAGTCAAGAGACGGACGCTGTCCTGGTCATCGGCGGCGAGGTGCTGGAAAAGAGGAATCATTTCTTCAATGACAATAGATGGCGGCATCGCCTTGATGAACTTGGCGAGGTTATTGGCCGCCTGTCTCCGGACCATGGGGGTATCATCGTGCACTAGCTGGCCGTAGTGCTGCCTGAGGGCTTCTTGTGAGGGTGGTGTAGCGCGAGTGTAGGGGGTCTGGTAGAGTCCAGTCGCGGAGATCTTCGACGTGAACCAGTCGGCTTTTGATAGGCGCAAGACGAGGGGTATGAAGTTCTCTTCAATCTGCTGCTGCGACAGCTCTTCGCAGATCTTGTTGAGCGATTCGACAGCCTGCACGTGTTAGCTGGCGGCCGGGCTGAGGCAATTGTTGCGCGCACCTTCTCTCTGACAAGAGGCTCCTCTATGGCTGCAAGGTTCTCGAGAGGCGACAAAAGCACGTGTGCATGCTCTGGGCCGCCCACATACTCGACAAACTTGCCAAGTTCCTCGCTCAATGCTGTGAGAACCTCGTCTTCATCCTCGACCGACTCTGGATACTGCCGTTAGCCAGTCAACACGTGACGCAGGCGCCAGCCAGGCTCTTACCATCGAGAAAGGGTATGAGTTCCTCTCGTGTCCGCTCGGCGCCGAGGGCGAGGGCAATTGTGTTCAGTCGGTGGATGGCGTTGAGGCGGAGGATAACGTCGTCGTGCTTCAGCTCGTCGATGAGCACGGCGATGGGGTAAAGCTCGTCGTTTTGATTTGCGTCCATGGTTCAGTGTCTGGGGCGGGTTAAGTTTATGAGGGCGCAGTAGGGAGCTCGAAACGCGGGCGTGGTGTTGACGTACCTGGTTGTTGGCGAGGAAGCGAAGAGGGGTGTCAGGGCGCTGAAGGACCAGTCCGAGCTTTTCAGCCACAGGTGCGCCACACTTGCAGATGAGAAGGTACCGGAGGGAAGATGGAACCTGTGTCAGATGGAGATATGGTGTTTAGCTTTTGATTGAGAATTTGGCCCTTTGATCAAAAGTGCTACTGTTTTCGTGCATTTCGAATTGGGAGCGTTATTTGACACCTGCCTTTTCCGCTAGTGCGCCACACCTTGGCTCCATCTGAGGAAAGCACGATGCCGTGACTACAGATCTCTTAGCGACATCCACCCACGCAGCTTACGATGTACTTAGCATCCCACTTTACGAAATGCGTCAGGGCTCGCGCATACACACAGAGCCGCGATAGCGCGTGCCGAATGTCTTGTGACATCGTCTAGCGCCTTCCGCTCGCCAAGGCCCTGAGAAGGACCGTTCTACTAGCAAAACGACTTGCTGCCCTTTTGTCTCTTCAACTCTCGGACGAGGAATTTGGATCGGCTCACGATGGACGACGAACACCAACAGAGGCGTGTTGGAAACCAAGGCGCTGCCAAACCGAACGCGACCGAGGACGAACCACTGCTTGGCCGTTCTTCGTCCTCATCACAGGCGTCCCAGCAACTGCCCAAACAGCTTACTACACGTCACGCGTTCGCCGTTCTTGTCACTCTCCAAATCGGCTCAGGAATCTTTGCGTCGCCAGCTCAGGTCGATAGCAATGTACCATCGCCCGGGGCTGCTCTCCTTGTGTGGGTCCTTGGTGGGCTGTTATCATGGGCAGGAGCAGCATCCTTCGCTGAGCTTGGTGCCGCGCTGCCATTGAATGGCGGAATGCAGGAGTATCTGCGCCATATTTATGGTGATACTGCGGCCTTTCTGATGGCATGGGTGTACATCCTGGGTGTGAAGCCGTCGTCAATGGCTATTCAAAGCATCGTCATCGCTGAGTCTATAGGCTCCGTCACGTCCAGTACTGGCGAGTTACCCGACACGAAGATTCTCAAGCTCATGGCTGCCATGGCCTTTATCTCCATGGTGCTGCTCAACTCCATCAATACCCGATTTACAATGCGACTGAGCGAGTCATTCACAGTCTTCAAGCTGTCCACAGTGGGGCTGATCGTCTTGAGCGGCATGGTAGCTGTGGCTGCACATCTGATCAATGCGAACTCTTCGTTTTCCGGGCCGTCCGACTGGTACTCCCGCAACTGGTTCCAGACTAGATCGACAGTGTCGGATGGCCAGACCATCGATTGGGTTTCCATGGGGACCTGGGACCGTTACGGTCACTACTGTGCAGCGATTTACGGAGGACTATGGGCATACGATGGATGGGATAACGTGAGTGTATGGCCTTACTGACTCAACAGTGTGGTCTGACAGTGTGTTCTAGGCCAACATCGTAGCAAGCGAAATCCGCGATCCAGGTCGTGCGCTTCCAAAAGCGATCAAAGCTGCAATGATCGTCGTTCTCAGTTCATTCGAACTCGTCAACGTCGCTTACTACATCCTTGTACCATGGGATAAACTGAGCAGCAACAACGCGGTAGCTGTCGCTGCTGCCACCTCTCTTTTGGGCAGACCTGCAGGTATTCTCGTTACTACCCTTGTCGCCATATCTTGCGCAGGGTCTATTACGAGCAATGTCTTCTCAGTAGGCAGACTAACAATTGCTGCATCGCAACGTCATGTACGTGTTCCTGTACGGAATGCATGTGAGAGATATACTAACGTCGTACCCCGACATGCAGTACATACCTGCAGTGTTCAGCAAGCGAGGACTGCCGATGACGCAGAGGGCTGAAGCAGAGAACAGCATTTTATCCAACCTTGACGCCCCAATGTAAGCCACTCGGGAACCCAGGGTCTGCCAAGACACTGACACGCGTTACAGCTATGCCAACTGTTTAGCCCTGGTCGTTACCCTTGCCTACATACTGGCAGGTAGTTTTCGGGCACTTTTGACTTTCGTTGGGATGGCTGAATGGGTCTTCTACGTAAGCACAGTGGCTGGGCTACTTATACTTCGTCGCCGAGAACCGGAGTTGGACCGACCCTATCGTCCGTTCGTCGTCCTTCCCATCATCTTCGTTATTGTCGGTACTCTGGTGATCCTGCGATCTGCTCTCTTTGCACCGGTGCAGAGTGGAGTTTTGGTGGGACTTCTCGTAGCCGGCGCTCTGATCAGCCGATTACGGAGCATCCAAAGCTCATGAAGATCGACCGACGAATCTGGAATCTACAACGCATGCACCCGCAGGATTCTGCGCCCGGTTTCCAAAGACCTTGAACGGTGTTGCGCCTGCAGCATGGTTCTCTCGCTCAGCTGTCTAAGTATAGCCGGACCAATCTCTCTGATCTAGACGGTGGCAAAGCACAAAGTTCGATTGATCCACCAGCCCTCATGGCTCGGGTAAGATGGATGTGGAGCTGACATATGGAACCGATGCGCTAAGCAAGGTTTAATTACCTAGCCCAACGGCAGGCTACCTTCCCCGCAACTTAATTCTGACTTCGGTGCCGGCATCAAGCATGATTGATCCACATGCTGTCAATTTTACTCTGCTAACTCTGTTTGTGCCTGCCAGTCACTCATCTAACACTATATCCGGTGCCGCATCCGACCCTTTGGTAGTACTACCTCGAGTTGCCCTGGCGCCGGGTCATGCGGGTTACCCAATCAGACACATATGGCTAATACGGCGCCATATACGTACAATGGTCGACGTCCGTCTTTGCCGGACATCAGCACTATGACGAAGCCTTAAGGCGAACGAATATACTTTTCGTAACGAGGCATGATCCCGAGACCCACGAGGCGACAAGACCCGACCGTACGCTTGCGTTGTGACAGCAAACCACACCGTACCTTGCAGGACGATACCCATCTCCCAAGATCGGGTCCCAGAGCGCTTCTCGATGCGGAGGCTGTCTATCTTAATCAGCATCCACACAACCCGTATTGCTGCATCTGATGCATGAAGACGCGGTATAATGAGCAAAAACTCATCACTCATTTTATCCACTCGCCGTTGGTAAGCAAAGAAATTTCCCAATTAGTGATGTGACAGATGTCACAAACTTACTTTCGGGTCACGATGCTGCAACTACACTAGCTAGTGGGTCATCAGCGTGAGGGTTCACAACACACGCTCACGCCTAAACGCATCGATCCCCGGTCCATCGCCCTGCTCGCTCCTTGTAGAGCGTCGATCGTGACTCAGGACGTCCAGAGTACGAGCAAGCGACATCGTTTGGAGTTGCGGGGAAGCTCTTGGGCATCGCGTAGCTGCATGTCTTACAGCACATGCAAAGAATGTATGGCAATTCCGAGGAAGATCAAGGAAAACCATACCTCCTCGGGCCACTGGGTAAAGAACCTTTATCGATTTTATTGAGGAATGCAGAGCCTCGTCGTTGGCATTGGTGGAGGTCCAGTGTTTTCTTATTGCTCTGCAGATGGTTTTGGGAAGCAAAGAGCCGAGACGGGACTCGGAGTGTCGTACAGCGTCCTGCTGCGACCTTGCAAGGCACATTCCACGTTCAATGAACCGGGGACGAGAACAACCGCAATTTAGGATACGAGAAGACGGACGGAGATACTCCTCGGCACTACTCAGTCCGCCAAGCGAACGGGCCTCGAAGTAATGTCAACGAAGAAGTATAAAGAAGGCAGACTCTGGACTTCAAGTTGAGCATCCACAGCATCAAGCATCATCTCAGCTTCTTACCTTCACTTCCACCAACTCTTCACTCTCTACCAACCAAACAACTTCCAACCATCAACATGCGCTTCTCCATCCTCGCCTTCATTGCCGGTGCCGCCGCCGCTCCCTTCGCCTCCACTGGAACAGAGCCCGTCTGCCCCGATGGCCTCTACAACAGCCCCCAGTGCTGTGCCACTGACGTTCTTGGTGTTGTCGGCTTGAACTGCGCAGTTCGTAAGTCTTTGCCTTCCATTCCTTCCACTCATACACGCATTCATGCTAACGTTGCCATCCAGCCGCCACCACTCCCACCAGCACCACTGGCTTCATCGCCGGCTGCGCTGCCGCTGGCAACCAAGCCAAGTGCTGCACCATCCCCGTTGCCGGCCAGGCTGTTTTGTGCCAGGACGTTAGCCCCGGTGCCGGCGCCCCCGGTGGCGGATCTCCCCCCGCTACCACTCCCTCTCCTGCTCCTGCTCCTCCTGCCGAGAGCCCTGCTGTGCCCTCCGGTTGCCCTCATTACTAGATCAAGTAGTTGGCGGTGAATCAGTGGGAAATTGATGGTTGAGGCGAGTAAACGTGGAGCCAAAGTGGAAGACATAGGGGAAAGCACACATATAGCTGTAGTCATCGTCAATACAATCTGCAGTTGTAGTACCAGTCTTACATTCCAATTCTCGCATTTTGATTGATTTGATAATATGTGACGCTGCTGCATCGTGACGCAGCGTGTACTATGGTGGTTGATGGTTGTCGTGGAATGCGGGGAAATGAAGATCGCGCTGGGCGGGTGAATCTCCCGGCGCACTGCGACCGTTTCGAAAGGGGAAAGTGGGTCCTTGGCACGGACCAATGCGTCCAAGGTGATCGCGATTTTGCGCTCTCGTCCGTCCCTCCACCAGCGTTGCTGCTTTCTGTTCACATCTCCTCGTACGTCGCGCCCACGCTATGCCATGACTGTTTTAAAATAACTCCAAGACGTGCACACAAACGCATGGCGACTTCATTTCAATCTCTTCGACGTGCAGCCTCGTCAGCCTTGCCAAACCTAACAGCCACCACGTGTCAAAACCATCCGAGCGTCGCAAACACAGTTTTGTTCATTCCAGAACATCACATGGAAGGACTCCAGCTGGAGCTAGGGGCTACGTAGCGCACCGCCAGCATGTTGGTGGCTGCTGACGTGAATATTCGCCTTGTGTTGTCTTCTCGCCCTCAGGATCCGTGCATCACGCTTGATTGGGTGAAACCATAGCTGAAGCTGAAGCTCTCCAGGCCCCGCGCACCAACGCAGTAGGACTGTGCCCACAGAGTCACCGCCTGAGAGACAATTTATGCCATTGAACCATGGCTTACAAGGTCTTTCTAGTCTCTTTGCCAATTGCAAGCTCAGCTTTGTACCTCGCGTATCTACACGCAACCCTCTCCCAGAAGGTGCAATGCCGAACGACGCCTTACCTCCAGGACAAGTCCATACCCATTCCTAGCATCGCTCAAACAAGCCCGGAAGACTGCATCGTTCATCATGAGTGTGCGCGCAAGACGGTCGCTAGAGAGTCTCTGGGAGGTTCAAGACCAGAAGAGCTGCTGGTGCCGTTCCTCCGACACAATGGCTATCTTCTCCACGCATCCTCCTGCATGGGGTATCTGGCATATGATCAAAGACGCTAAAGATAGAGAATCCTTCCACGCAGCATACATCCGCTCCCTCCGATTTACACCTGGAGACCGCGTCTCCGGGGTTTACGTGGTGTCTTCTCGAGACAGACTATGAAGAGTGTGAACCTGCAGGAAATGACGCTCGGTCATGCTACAGTGGGAAGGTACGATGCGACGTTGCCTTGGCACGGCACGAATGCTGTTTATTCGACCACACCTTCCAACTCAAGGCACCAATGTTACCTAGAATACAATCAAAACTAGCCCGATACATCCGTATTGGAAGTGTGTGGCAGGGGCCAAGGACGATTGATAGGCTGCGAGCTGTTTCGCCCCAACACACGTGGGTAAGCTGCATCAACCGCCCCCATTTTCGGTTCCTGATGTGGTCGCACCTACCTGCAGCGACATATGCATAATCTGGGACTTCTTCCGTGGAGCCTCCTTCATCCTGAAGTTTTGGTCGTACCTGATACCCATTACCATCAGATCGTCAATCATGTCAGGTAGCCTCGAGGTCGCCGCGGGGATCTTCGCGATCATCGGCGTAGCCGATGTTGTTGTACGAATGGGAAGGGAGGTTCATGGATTCCTACGCGACATCGCAGGTGCGCCAGAAGAGATCGATAGACTTTGTACTACCGTCAAAGAGACTGCGCTACTGGCCGAAACTGTGAAACAGCTTCTCGATACCGTGGCTTGTCGGAAACAACCCAACGCGACGAATCACATGGTAGCGCTTTTCGAATCTGCACTCAAAAGCTTGCAACGCGAATTACAAAACTTGAGGATACTAAGCGCGAGATTTAGGAGTGGCGGCAAGACATGGAGCAGGGTGAAGTACGTTCTGGATGAGCGCAAGATCAGCAAGATGTTTAACAATCTGGAACGATCGAAAAATCTACTAGCAAACTCTTTGCATGTTGCAAGCAGGTAAGCATGTAGTCATATCATTGAATGACGTTGTTTTGACCAGGCTCCTAGGCAAAGATCAGACGATCAACACCTGGAGCTACTGCAAAGGCACGACACGAACCAAGCCACGTTGATTCAAGGACAACAACTTCTGGGACGTATGTCGGTCCATCACTACCAGGAAACAAAACGGACGTCGAAGGTCTTTGCAATCACCCACCAGGAGCAAGTGAGAGAGCATCGAAAGACTCGCGAAGTCTTATCAGAAAAGATCGGCGATGCCATAGCCGCTGAGTTTGAGAAGTATCGCATCCCTCGCACTCAGAGATGGATGAGAAATATCTTCTTCTTTGGTGAACGTCGTGACATGATCATGGCCTATCTACTTCTCGTCAAACCGCATCTAGAGGCAGCATTCAGGAATCTGCTGACCGATGGTATTGAACGGTTTTCACCTCACTATGTCGATTGGTTACGATACGAGTTCGACTACCTTGTAGCATCAGCATCGCAAGAAGAAGCGACAAGACACCGCGGATCTTCCGCAGCCTCTTTCGACCGTTGGCACTACTCTGAGGAGACAATGCCACATCATTATAGGGCATCTGAGCGTGCTATTGAAGAGTCAAACACCAGTTCGGATACTCCGGAAGCAGACTACGCAAACCTCTATCTCAGCGCGCCGGTAATCGCGGGCCAAAGGGCATATACACAAACTACTCCCTTCGGTAGTCTACGCATACAGTCTCCTCGACGAGCGGTCAAAGCCAAGTTCAAACGTCCAAACAACGAGGCCAGTTTCACGTTCACTTGTGGTATTGGCCAGTCGGTCCACGCCATTCACGCCCACTTCCTTCGTAACGCAGCTAATGCGTCGAATCCAGGGCTCTGCGCTCAACTCAGTGTATTCACATTGGCTGAGTCTGAGACGCATT